AATCTTTTTTTTTCCCCCCTCACCTCTCACCCTAAGGACAAAACTCTCCAAAGCAAGCATGGTTTCTCTGGGTAATGTCATCCTTGCTTGTTCATCTGTCTGAAGCAATTACTGTGGCTTCCGTAGGGATTATTTTTCAGACAAAGTGTTGACATTTTTCCCCCAGTTGGGTGTCAAGGGTGTACCTGTGGTGGTAATTTCTGAGTGGCAGAAGTCTAACGAGAGGAATGCCCTGTGGTTAATGAGGTGTTGGAAGACAGCGCGGCTAAATCTGGCATTATGCTTTCCAACTTTCCATTTTAATTAGAAACCTGGATCTCCTGGTCATGCACTCGTTCATTTTTTGAGTTGAGTGACAACCCAGTCTTTCACAGGGATAGCAACCACAATGTTTAGCTAAGGTGTTGATGCCGTTGGCTACCCGCATCACTCTGTCATGCCCAGCTTTGTGTTTGCCATCGGAACATTGTCTGTAGCCTTTCCCAGGTGCTGGACCCACCAGAGGGACATTGGCAGTGGCTGGGTCCTTCTCTTGTCCCTTCTCCTGCAGCTTGTTGGCCTAAATCCAGGATTTGGGCAGATATTCCATCCTTACTGGACACTGCCAGGTACTGATTTAAACGTCAAATTTCTCAACTTCTATTCACTGCAGGTAAGCAATTACAAGTTCATAGCAGCACAGAAGGTAGAGACGGAGGGGTTCAGCCTGTGTCCCTGCCCTGAAAACCAGTGCTGCAGGTGTCGGATGTGGGCACATGTGAGGATGATGATGATACCCCCGTGGGGTAGCCCTTGGCAGCTGAAGGGTTGCAGGGAGCCGTGCGCCTGCTCCTCACCTGCCGTTAGCCTGAACTGCCTTCACCGAGAGCTGAGAGAGCATGTTTTACTGCTCAGGTAACTAAAAGCATGGTTTGTGGTGGCAGCAGAGCTGATGAATCATTACTTGCTCACCTTTTAATAGTGGGATCGTGTGCGCTTGGTATGAGTTATATTACATGTGCTTAGATGTGTAAAATAAGGTAACATTGCAAAACAGTCACAGGTGTTTGCCAGTTTAGGGATAACAGCTAGTTTACCTGTCATACGATGATATTGAAAACCCAAAGTTATCCTACTGCTGTGCTTAATTTTTTCGGGGCGGGGAGGGAAGGTGCCTGTGCAGAGTAGATTTTTTGCAAGCATTACTTTCTTTTAATTAAAATGTTTTAGTTGGTATATACAGTAAAAATGTGCCTTTCTGGCTGTTGGGGATTATAAGTGAAAACTGGACATCGATATTTGCAGTCCTTCAAGCGTTCAATGTGCAGATAGTAAATACCTGCAAGACGATGCATCTGACCTCCCCACGGGCAGCTGTATGGAAACTTTGCTATGTAAAGGACAAGAGAAGCAGCTGTCATCCCACAGTTCTCCAGGAGGAGCAGAAATTGCCTTTCAACTTGATCTCCGTGCAGTTCCCCCGATGAGGAGCAGCACTGACGGGTCATGGCGATGGGTAGGTGCAAGGAGGGTGCTGGGGGCTGGCAGGGCTGGTGCCCATGGGTGGGCGATGGTCCCCGCACCGCTGGGCTCTGCAGCTGCAGTGCTGCCGCACGGCTCCGCCTTCCCACGCCATCTCCCTGTTTGCCTGGGAGGACGATTAACGTGATGTTATCAGCCCTGGGAAAAAGATTTCAGAGCCAGCAAGTACAAAAGTTCAGGAGTACAGTAATTAGCAGAGCAATTCTAAAGTGCAGTAATTAGTGGCTAATTACTGCTGCAGAAATATGCAAGGCATAGTGCCTTTTCTTCCTCCTGCGTAGAGATGGCTTATCTGGGGTTTGACAGGTTTGTTCCTGTCCCCAATGGCAGGAATGGAAAAAAGTGAACAAGGAGAGCCCAGGTGGGATGAACCTGAGCCCATGGATGCAGTGAGGATGAACTCCTTCTGCTCTCCAGAGCAAAGGCTGGGGCTGGGGCAGAAACACAGACTTCGGGCACACACCGGCTGGCAGGAGGCTGGGCTGTGGCTGCCCCTCCGTCACGCAGGGCCAGGCAGGTCCCCCCAGCTCTCCAGCGTAATGCAGGTTTCCCCCCCAAGAGCTCAGCGTGTCTGCCGGCGGGGGCTGCCAGCTCGTTCATCATTATTATTTTGCAAATCAGGATGAGATGACTGATAAACCTGTGCTGCTGGTTGCGGGGCAGATGACCATCCCTGGCGGTGTTTGCTTAGGAACAAAGCGTGTCTGTGAACACAGCAGCCGCAGCAGCAAGGTGCCACCAGCCGGGGAAGGGCTCCGGTACCTGAGTGGCAGGAAAAATAGATCACAATATCTCATTAGCGAACACTGCAGGCCTTGTCTCCGTGTTCCCAGAAGGTGCTGCGTGCAAGCACACGAGGAGGAGGAGGCTGTGCACAGCCCCAGCTCGGCCCCGCGATGTGTGAACAGGAAAGCTGTTTGTGCTCTCTCTTCAGAAAGTTTGGTACAGAAGCACGAACACCGTTGCGCAGCTCTAACGTACGCTGCGTAACGCACCTCGGCGGGAAAATTCTCACTTTGCAAAGCTGGGGAGAGCAGCTGAGCTGCTGTAATGCTCCTGCCAAATACATACTTCTGCAGTTTCCAAGGGTCTATTATACAAAAAATGAAGGTAAAATGAATTAGATTACCCATCTTTTCCAGACCAAACAGGAGTGCTTTTCACCACTGATACCACTATTTCAACAATGTAATGTTTAACTACCTTAAGTTACACTATGTACTTAAATGCCTTTTTTTTTCCCCCTTTACTGCTGAATAAGGAAAGTCAGGCCCAACGGGTGGGACCATGGGAGGGGAAGCATTAGGAAAAGCATTTAGCAATCATGAGGCTCAATGGCTCTGTGCCTGTCCCCAGCCCAGCTTGTGGCCCAGGGTAAAGGAGAAGATGAAGTTCACCTCATCCCTCAGCTGTGTGAACTGCAGCAAGTCCTGCTTTCCCTGGATTTTTTTCCCATTCACTAGAATTGCAAAATTGGGATTATTATTGTAGAAACAATAGAGTGCACAGGCTGTGGCCATCCGTCTCTGCAGTGGGAGCAGCATCTGCAGCATCCGACCAGGCTGCATCGCCCACCGCAGCACAGGGTCCCCCAGCTCCCTCTGCGGTTGTTCCTGATCGGCTGTCCCTGCTCGGGTGTCCCTGCTCAGGTGCTGCCACCGGAGTGATTGGCCTTTGTGTCTCATCACAAAGCTCATCTTTGTGGTGAAGCAGCTCCCTG